GGGTCTGGAGTTGATGTCTGAGGAGAGCGATGAGGACGAGCTGCCTAGCTTGGTCTCCCTGATACAGTCCTCGCCGTCGCAGCGACTGCCCGGCGAGTTGGGCCAACAGCAGTCCTCGTCCTCCGCACCCGAGCCAGGGAGGGCAGCGGAAGTGATTGCTGTGCAGAACAGTGGGAGCCAGGAGGAGGTCGCCATTCCTGGGTCTGAAAAGTTCCTGAGGAGGGTAGAAGTAAACAAGGAGGCGGCTTTTAAGCACCCCAACCCGAGCGGTGGGAATGCAGCAGGGCAAGCCGGCCTTTGTGCTAGAGATGACCTGATGGTGCCTGGCAGCAGAGGGCCACAGGAAGCCGTGATGCTGTCTGGAGAAGGGTCTTGTGACAGTCAAAATGTCAGGCACGGTGCTGAGAGGCCCTCGTTGTGGCCTGACTCTGCAGACCAGCCTAATAGGCCTGCAAGCCCAGCAAGCTCAGAAACATCCTCCCTTCCCAAGAAGCCAAAATATACTTCGAATGAAGGGCTGGCAATCTTCCAGGCTGCTTGTCAGAGGTGTAAGGAAGGAGAAGCACAGAGGAGGCAGCAGGAGAAAGAGAGGCAGAGGGCCCTTGTTAAGACCCTGCAAGCTCAGCCACCAGGGGAGTGCCAAAAATATGTAACAGTGGTATTAGATTCAGGTACGTGTCCTCACAGCCAGCGTCTGCCTTATATTAACTGTCAGCTCTTGCTGTGGAGGCCTGACCTGTGCACCAATTTCAGTTCTCATTCAGATAAGATCTGGTGGACCAATCCTTAAAGCTTTGCAGGATGCAAATTATTCCTTTGTGGCGAAGAGGCAGGCTGTTCCCTTCAGCATCACATGGAGGAGAAAGACTATGTTATCTCAGGTATGCAAGCAAAATCTCAGCATTCTTGCCCTTTTCACCCTCTATTATTTGTAGTCATTAGTAAGTGTATTTAGCAACCCAAGTAAATGCTCTCTAATATTGCCCTGCCTCAGAGGTCTGAGCGACAGCACTGGTTTGGGTGAGTTATAAAGAGACTTTTGGTCTGGCTGTTTGTTTTGATTTCTGCACAGATGGAAGAAGGAGATGAATGGACAGAAGAACCACATGTCCTGGTTGTGGTTCCCCCGGAGGAGCTTCTGTTCATGGTTGACAAGGACAGACAAGTGAGAGTGTTTATGTCTTTTGTTGTGTTTTTGAACATGCCTTGCTGTAAGGGTGATGTTTTTCATCCCTCTTCATGGTGAGAAGTTTTTGATGTGGATGGAGTTGTGGTTCCATTAAACCAGAAACCATTAATGGATCAAAACACTAGGGTTGTATAATGCCAAGTTCTGACAGGCTTTTTTTCCTAGTTACAACTTTTCAAGAGGTAACATTTTTGAAGAGCTAACATTGTCAGTTCAAGTGAAATTAGGTTTTTTAAAATTTTTGGTAAATTTTTATTTTTTATTTCTTTCTGCCATAATGTTACACTGGATCAAGTGTTGCCTGCTTGCCCCAGAAGAGCTACATGAACAGACTTGCATGTGTAACTCAGGATGGTTTAACTCCTTTTTCCTGTTGATCTTTGCAGGAGGCCCAGGGCTGCACAGGACACAAGGAGACCCTACAGAGCTATGTAGATCATGTGATGGAGAAAATGCCTGGGAAATTTCTGACACTGGCAGTAGTTGGTCTGGAAAATTTTTTCAGGTTAAACTTTTTTTCCTTCCAGATGTTTCCCTGTTGTCTCTGGCCTTGAAAAATACCATAGGCATTTACATTACTTTTGGTAAAGACAGGAACATAAAAGGTATTCCCACCCAGAACTGCTCTGTTATTTGTGATACAGAAACAGAAGCCTGTCACCTTAGTGACCAATGGCAAATACCTAGGCAAAAGCATGAACTCCAGTCTTACTTTACTCTTCTTCGGTCTCTCAGGATTCCCTCAAGAAGGAGTCTGCGACAGGCAGCAGCAAATGGAAACCAAGAAGAGAAAGAAAAAAAATGCAGAGAAAATAAGAATTCTAGCTTGAAGATAACCAGACTGGACGTGGAAAAAGTGAGTACCTTTAAAACAGGCATGCAGCCATCACCTCTTGTTGTCTGCCATTGTTTGAACCCTTGACCCAATCTCACACTTTCTTGGATGGGGGGATTTGGCATTTGTTAGTCTGTGTGTCTGTGGACAGAGCTCTTTGGGTTCAGTTCCCCACTGCTCAAGTATGTACCTGCTTTCCCATGGACTGATGTGTCTCATGCACCTTGATCCTGGACAGTGACGTGTCAGTCTCAGATGACATCTCTTGCCCTTTGTGGCCTGCTGGCAAAGCTTATCAGTGCTGGCCTGGGCTGTGTGGCCTGTGTGTAACAAGAGTGGCCCCTAAATACTTCAGTGACTTAAATTAACCATTCCCAAAATGGAAAGAGAGTGGTTGTTCTTGTCCTGTAGGAAGATGTTGTGACCCTTTTTTGTTTCAGGCATGAGTAGGGTTTGATGTGAGAAAATTAATTGTTCCAGTTGCTATTTCCAATGTTGCTGACAGGCCATGGTGGATCTGCAGGTGTGGAAAAAAGTCCATGTCAAGATTTTGAGGAGCTGGGAGGAGCTTGGAAATTATACCACTATGTTCTCAACAGCTGTAGCTAAAGCACCATTCATGTGAGTAAGCAGATGAGGTTTGGTCATACCCTCTTTGGAGAGGCTGCACTTTCACAGTTACTGGGAGGAAATAGCAGGTACAACACAGTAAAATGGTTTTTAAAGGAGCAAGTGGCACAGAGTAGTTGCTAATGCAGCTCCTTCAGCACAGAGTTGGTTCTTGGGAGCTGTTGTCCTGCCTGGGGAGGGGTGAGGGCAGACCCTGGTTTCACATTAGAGTCTTGACGTCAAGTAAAAGTCTTGTTCTTAGTCTGATTTTAAGAATGGGAAGGGAATGCAAGTAGGCTTGGGCTCCTACAGCACCAACTTCTTCAGAATGTAACCAAGAGAGATGTTACTGAGAATGAACCATTCTTGTCTCACAGCGGTTGGTAAGAAAGACATCTTGTGCAGTTTCACACAATCGTAGCATTCATATCACAGCAGCTGCTGTATTCTACAACTCAGCCATGAGAAGAGATGTTAAAAATGACATGTAACAGTGATTTATTGTGGTTGACAGATAAGTGAATTCTTGTTTACCGCTTTGTTAAGAGCGTGTTGGCTTGTGTCAGGATTGCTCCCAAGTACAGGATTGTTTCTTTTACAGTAGGAAATCTGGGCCTTAAACAAGGAAATTGGTAATGTTTGTGAAGAAAATTGGGTCAAATTTTTAGCATTTATTTTGATGCCAGTGGTGTTTATAATAGCATGGAGTGTGAAACGTCTCTTCTCTCTCTGCATATGTGACAACACATGCAGGATTCTTTTCATAGCCTCACTGTCTCATTTGCTTTCCCATTCTTTGTTCTCTCTAGGCAAAAGGGAGATTAGATGGGGCTCTCTTTCTACTAAGGGGAGGAGTGGTGCAGAGGGGTGAAGTTTGATCATTTGAGAAAGGATCTCTTGGAAGTCTGGAAAAGGCAGATACACCAATTTAACTGGGCCAGCTTCAAGATGGCTGAGGCTATTGTATCTGCATCCCCTTCTGCTTCTGACCCAGGTGAGGATGCTTCGGGAATACCAAGTACTGTGTGCAGACAGCCAGCTAACGTAAGGAGCAGAAGAAATAATTTAATTGGTATTAAACTTGACACAACAATTCTGTATGAGCTGTTTAGTAAGGCAGTGAAGGAACCAATTCCTTGGCACCCATTGCTTTGCTTGACAGAGCAGACTGCTGAGGGAGGAGCATTGGTTCTGCACCAGCCTGTAAGCTCACAAATGAGATCTGGGGAGAGACCAGGCAAAAAATGAGCATATGTTGTGAAAGGGTAGAGCAGTCACAGATGCCTAGATTTGATTATTTTTTTGAGCAAAGGATGCAAATTTATGCTATCATTGGCCTTTTGTGTTGCTTTTAGGCCTACAGCAGATACGCCTTGGAGCAGGAGCAGGAAAATGTGCTGGCCAATATCCCTGTGCACTCCGGTGATGGTGTGACAGCCACCTCCCGGTGCATCAGACCAGAACTTTTCCAACTAATCTATCTGCAGATGACTTCCTAAGATCCTGATCTCTACTTGGATTTCACTCCAAGCAAAGTGAAGCCCCAGCAAATGAAGATTTTACTGTTTGCTTGGTTTAAGTGTTCCTTCTGGGAAGAAGTTCTTGGCTAACAGATAGAGTTATTGATCCTAGTTTAAATGTGGTTTAAGTCTTTAGACTTTATTGTTGCAGAAGAAGGTTGGATAAAATTGCTGAATGGCTGGAGTTTACACTAGGAAGAGGTGAACATTATAGAAGCATGAGTTGGACACACTTTATAGTTCTGATAGTTCCTTCTATTTGTGTTCCTAGAAAATAAATATTTTTAAACAGTAATAACGATCTTTGCTTCTTAACATGCTGTTTTGACTATAGACAGGTAGGTCATCTGTTGAAAGGAATGCTTTCTACTGCTATCCTAAACTGCAAGTAGCTATCTTCTCTCTCCAGCGTGGAAAGCCGTAATGCTAAAAGCAACATGGTGCTGCCCCCCCAGCACCTGTTCTAGTGAGGTGGAAAAGCTTTACCTCACAAAATAGACTCTCAGTTTTCCGCTGTGGCAGATGGGAATGAGTAAGACTAATTTTCAGATACAAATTTAGACTGCCCTGATTCAGTGTCCAGACGGCTTAATCTATAGAGGGTCTTGAAATCTGATTATATGTGCTGGAATTATGAGGTCTAAACAGTTGGCAGAAAAAGCTTTCTTTTAATTAGATTGGGGAACATGCTCGCCTGTCCACAGATTTGTTAGCGCTTGTGTGCACACAAGGACAGTTGAAGTCCTTTGCAACAACAGTATTTACCAAGACTTGCCAGTGTGTGGAAGCAGTCCTTTGGAACTGTGCTGCCTTGAGTGACTAAACTCCTACCTCCTGTGCAAGCTTCAGGTAGCAGGAGCCCTTGCCTGGCCAGTACCGCGCTTCTGACTTGAACTGGTAAATCCTATTAGCCTGGCATGTGCAAACTTACAATCATAGAATGGTTTCAGTTGGAAAAGACCTTTAAGATCAACTTAAGCAGCACTCTCCTAGATGGCAAAGCAGCAGATCCCTGCCAGACGTTTTTTCAGGAATGTCTGCAGAGAGGAAACCTTGCTTTGAATGTCTGCTGTGTTTCTGAACACTCTGGATAGTAAGAATGTGATAAGTTAGATACTTAAAAGCAAAACTAAAAAAACTAAAACCGTTTCAAAGAAGCTTAGAAAACATACATACTGCTAAGCCAGAGATAAGCAGCCTTTCCTTCCTTTATCTGATACTCATGCTGTTGCTTTTTTCTGCATGGTACCTGGGGAACCACAGTCTTATCGTTAGGTTACAAAAAGGTGAAAGTTTACTGCTTGGTATGAAATGCTATAGACGATTTCCTCGCAGCACTGCTCTTATCAGCAATAATGCTGGTTATCAGAACTGAGGGAGCAATTCTGGTGACTAATGTAGGCATGTCTCAGTGGAGTCCATAGCATGGATATTCTCTAAAACCTGCACTTAACGTTACGCGTACATTTCATTTCAGTACTTACAAAGCCCTTAAGAATGTTACAAACTTCTGTTCAGTTTTCTCTGTAAGGAAATTATAAATAGTTCAAAGGCCTTTGCACAGGTGAGTTTTCTTCTCTAGGTGAAAACCGCCAAACCTCCCAGCCCTCCCACCAGCCCCAAAGTGCAGCCACGCTCTGCCTGCCTCTGCCTGTCACGCTGCCACAGTGCCACCCAGTGCTCCGTGCCACTGCTGCAGCACTTGCCCACCCTCTGTGTGTGGGTCCGACAACCCCTCTTGCTGCACACACAAAACCAGCCTGCAGAATGGCCAGAAGTCCTTCCTAAGCTGTAGCTGCTTTGTTGGCACTAAGTGGTTAAAATAAATGCAGTCAGAAATAGGTTTTGGCTATTTCTAAAATTAAAATTAAAACTGCATTAGCAACATAAAACATCCAGTTCAGACAAATTGCTGTGAAAACTGTTGTATTGAAAATTTTAAGCTCCTTTCCATAGTACATCAGCTTCTTTGTTCCAACATACGGATGCACAGCCATCCTACACAATTGTACTTGGTCCTAGAGCAGGCCTTAATATATTATTCCCATACAGCCATATCACAAATTTTAGCACAAATAGAAATAAGGGCAAGGGATGGACACGTATTAAAAACCTTCTACCTCCAGGATAGAGCTATAGCTACCTAAATAATGCAAGGGCTGTGTTTTTCCACTCCTACAGATTGGCAGCTTTCTGTATCTCAATCTATGTAAACATCCCTTGGAGGTAAGAAGCGTTAACAAGTTTAGGTTCACATGGGCAAATAATGGGAGTTACAGGCCAACTGCGAAACATGCACAGCAAAGATGATCTGAACAACAACTGCTCTGCGTGGAGTGGACCAGCAAACCAACGCTGACTGGTTAAAAGCAGTTTCACCAGAACACAATTCCATAGGAATTCTGGCTGCGTAGATGGTGGAGGGAGATGCTGACGAAGCAAGTGCCCGTCCAGGACAATCACTGCTGCGAGTTCTGCTGTAGCATATTTTGCAGGGTTTTGTGGTTTTGCAGAGCAGCTAACACATCCTCGTAGAGAGTGTTCACGCTGATGCACAGAGGTTGATGTTGCAGCTCCGTCAGCTTGCAGGTGGCCAAAGCACAAAGGACACAGAGCAGCACCAAGAGCAGGACCCTCAGCACCGACCGCGACCAGGAGTGCTTGTGCCGGGGTGGCTGAGGGGGACGAGAACTGGAGGCGGGCTCTGTAATGAGAACATTTACAAGACCGAGAATGTGAGGAATTCATCAAAAGTCTTTAGCAGTCTACAGTCAGAAACAAGCTGTTCACACTTCAGCCTGTGCTGCAGTTGTCTTTTGTCATGAATTTTCATCACTAACTGACAATAAACAGATGCACAGGATCTACGTGTTTAGATTTAGTTTCAGGTTTAGTGTCACCGGCAGCAGCGAAGAGGGTGTAAAGCACCTCTGTGTTGCACAAGATTTGGATTTGCACATGTAGCTCAGTACATTTAAAAAGAAATGAGTGGAGGGACATCCTCCTTAGGAACAGCTGAAGAATTTTCTGAATCTTGTAGCTCAGCTATTCATTTGGAATGCAGATAAGGGGAAAAGGGCACAGCAGTAGAGATTACTGGAAGTCCTACGGGTTTCTCCCCCTCACACCATCTCCCTGTACCTGGGCAGCATAAAAGCACATCTGGCAGCATCAAAATGTGATGAAGATGCAGTCCCACCCAAAACAGATACTACTTACTTCGAGTCTGCACAGTTGCTTTTTTAGTTTTCTTTTCAATCTCCTGTTTTGCAGCTTTCTGAGCATCATATTCCCGTCTTCTGCGTTCCTTTTCTTCTGCCTTCTCTCGCTTCCTCAGCTCCCTCTCTTGAGCCTCCTTTGCTCGCTGTTCTGCCTCACGCTTCTTCTCCATTTCTGGGGATTAACATGTAGTTTTTCCTTTTATGTAAAGGTCTGTCATTGCTTTCTTCCTTATTACCTGCTTATCTGTCCCCAATTGGAATGAGGAAACAAATCGAATAACGATCCTCTTTTTTTATCTTGGGTTTGTTTGGTTTTTTTACTATTACATACTTTGCATTTTGCTCCCTCAGTGTCAGGCTTCCCTTAAAAAAAATCCTGTGCTCTTTTTTCAGATTTTCATAGATAACCTGTAGTGCATTCCATCTAGAGATCTAACTATTATTCAAGCAAGAAATTGCATAGTTATTCCCCGCCATCTTTCTCCCTCCAGCCCTTCTACTCTACTACTCTCAGACTCCTCAGGATTTTGATAGCTACAAGTATTTTTTAGATGGCAGTCAGTAAGTTTGGATGTGTAAGAGAGACCAAGAAGAGCCCTCAGCAGACAGCACGTGAGGGCTTTCTGCGCTTACCTCGTTCTGCTTGGAGCTTCCGCTGCCGTTGTCGGTCCTGCTCAGACTGGATCGCTTTCATGTGCTGCAGCACCTTCAAGGTGCAAGAAAACAACCTGAGGTCTCTGCAGAAGGCTCAATGCACAATCCGTTCAAATCAGAACTACTTATGTGAACCTATAGTTTGCCAGAACTTCTCCGGAGACTTTTGTACTCTGGACTATAAGACATGGATTATTTTGTCTGATTATGCCTTCACTTTCTTGGCAACCAGGCTTTAGTCCTCTCCTAACTCCACTAATGAGAGAAAATCCTACTCCATGTTTGTTCTCTACAGGGACAGAAGTCAGTGCAGAGAATCTCACTGCCTGAAGAAACTTCAAGCTGCTGCAGCAGCTGGCCAGCTTGCTAAGCAAAAAGAGGAAAAACCACCACTGATAAAGCAAAGTAAGGAAAAAAAAGAATAAAAGCAGATTCCTTACCTTGACAGCAGCCTGTTTACACTGCTTCTCATCCAGACAGTCTCCTGCTACTTTAGCTAGGACAGGATCCAGGGGATTGTCCTTCAGATCCAGCCACTTCAGGTTCTGCAGAAAGGAGCAATAAAGGGCAGGCTGTAAGAGCACAGTAGTCTTGTGATTATTTAAGCGACCCAAAGCAAATAACGACTTTGTTTTCATGTGAAGGAAACGGGTACGGAAGACAATCAGAGCTTGAGCAGAGGGTGTTTTCAATAGATCGGAGATAATTTCCTCTGAGCTGCGATGCATGCAGAGCCAACTGAATTTTGCAGTGGGTAGTCAGCAGGATGGATGCTTTACCAGAGAAATCAACTTGAGACAGATCACAAGACCCTGGGCTTCATCCCAAAGCTTTACGTAACTGCCCAGCAAACAGTTTTACCTTGAGCTGTGCAAAGCTGACTGGCAGGGTGACTAAACGGTTGTGCAGAAGGTCCAGGTGCTGCAGATTGACCAGGCGGCCGAAGTCCAAGGGCAGCTGTTGAAGCCGATTTTTACTCAAATCCAGTTTCACCAGATGCATCAAACTGCAGAAGTCTGACTAAAAACCAAACAACAAAACCCAGAAAAAACTCATCAGTGCCTTTATGAAGGAGCCCCAGTGGGGACTATGTGGAGACAGCCCGCACCTTACATAGGCCACAAATTCTTAACTTACTTCAGAACTGGGATGGAGGAAGTTTCACTGTCCTCCTTTGCCTTGGAAGATGGAGGTGGAAAACAGTGGGATAGACAAGACAGACAAACTGACAAGGTGATGTATGGTAATACACAGAAACCCAAGTCTCCGCTGCTGATGAAACTGGTCTGTATTCACGTGGGGATCCTCTGGCAGGACAACACCGCAATCTTCATGCAGTACAAACCTTTCCTCTCTTTCTCTGCCTCAGCCAAAACCACCCCCCAGCTCTGACCCGTCACTGATAGCAGCGTCACTCAGTCACCCCAGGATGAGGAAAGTGCCAGATCCAAACCTCCTGTGAACCTTTACCGAAGCACTAGTTATCTTTCCTAAATATTTCCCAGCAGATTCATCCCCACAAAAGCTCTCTAGCACCTTACCGGCAAGGAAATGAGATTGTTACAGGACAGATCCAGTATCGTCGCTTTTGGAAGAGCAGCCTGAAAGAGAAGCAAAGCACTAAATCACCACCGCGGTACACCCAGACCCCCCTGACACCTGGCAGTCTTGCTTCAGCCTCTGCGGTTTCTCCAGCGTCAGCCTGTCCGCTCGCCCGCGGCTGCCTCCGAGGCCACGTCATATCTTGATGGATTTTGGGGTGATTTATAATGAAATAGGTGCGAGCAGCCCCGGCCAACACCGCACGAACCCTCCCCTCTCAGCTGCTTTAAAGCCCTGCAGGCCATATCACGAACAGCCCCAGCACATCTGGCTG